GCAGGATTGTTGTGGTGGAAGGTTTGCAAGCATCTTTGATTGTGGCTGGGTTGTCAGAAGCATCTTGCTAACCAGTTAGCAACTAGTAGGTTCCCAATTGGAAATTCCATTGGGACCAAGTGGCACTAAATTGGTGACTTAGAAACGACACTGTCAAGGAACGCTATGGACAGAGGAAACATGCAAGAGGAGGAGAGTTTAGTGGAAGAGGTCATGGATGAGTCTCCTCTGTCATCCATTTTTTATTTAGAGGAGGAAAGCGGGGACGAAGATGTTGTGGCGGCAGAAGCTTGGTTTGGTGTAAAAGGCTTACAGCCGTACATGTTTGGGCCCTTGCCTCACAACGCTGCCAGTTCTGTTAGCTCTACGCCTGCTGAAGACACAGACGTCCATCCCCGTGAACACTGGGACAGAACTCAATGGGAAAGGAAATTATTCTTATTTCAACCATTGCGTATATTAGCCGTGACATATGAATATAGATGCTATGACCGAAAAAATGTGATTGACAGATGACAGTTGATATATGATTGGCCGAATTTAGGTGTTCAGGCTGATGTATAACTAACTGGCCTGCATAAGATAACAGATTTTAAGACAGGATTTTCTTTTTAAATAGAAATGTTCTAACTTTTGGGACAATATCATCTGATAAAGAGCACATTTATATACATGCTTAGGCAAGAATGATTTGAGATTTAAATATGATTTCCCCTTCGACTTTAAAGCCTTGCAGCTGCCCAGCTTGATAGCGAATACTGTGCGTTTACTGCTTTCCATACCCGGCATACAGTGCAGGTATACACCAAGGCAGCCTTGGCTGCTGCCTTCTGGTCATGCCCTTTGCTCTTCTTTATCTCCGCCTGCTTTTTGGCATTTTTCTGCTGGGACTGAAACTTCTGGTGCCCACGGGCCATATCTGGTGTCACACCTGGAGAAATCAGACATGATGCCACCTTCAGATTATAGGTCCAAATGAGTATTTAAACTGGCTGGCAAACTATAAGTGGTTAAAAAAGGAGACAATGAAATGTTAAAAATTCATTGAAAAATAAAAAAGGATGCTGATATGTTTCAAAATGTGTAAAACAAAGTATGTGTGCAACATCCAGCAGAATTGGGTTAATTAACTATTTTTAGGTCAGAGGGATAAGGCAATTAACTTGGAAATTTCCCCAAAGAAAATGATACAGCTGACATAAATTCAGTAAAACTGGGTCACTTTCTTTGGTTCTATGAACCATGTTTGACTCGATATCAACAGGGAGACTAGAGGGATATAATATTACCACCAGCAGCCCTAACAATAGCACAAACCGCCTCTAAAAGCACATATGGTAAATGAACAGAGCACCGGAAGGCTAACACTTTAGCCTAGCTGCTAGCATCAAGCATGATTTAAAGGGATTAAAACGGTAGGGCTAAACTTAGAAGGTAAAACTAAAAACAGCAATTTAATAGATAATAACAACATGAACATAAATGCTAACTCTTTGTTTCTTTAAACCATTATAAACACACATTTCATTAGCCGGTTACTAAACCATACAGCTAGATTAGCTACTAGCAGGAGTAATGCGTAGAAATTAATGTACGTAAATTTCGGTATTTGACTTACGTAAACAGAGCATCTCTAAATGGCTTACCGATCAAAATAATCGTATTAATCTCAAGAGCCCCCCAATGATAAAATCAAACAAACGCCAGCTTCCTCTGCACCATCCGCGGCTACCGAACGGCTTGCCTACAGCGCTCTATTGCGCATGCTCAAAATGTGCTGCCTTCACGGCCCTGACTAATGGCTCGGGAATATATAAATATTTTATTTTCAACACGTAAATGCAGCACCATTACTATCGAAACTATAAAACAGTTGGTTAAGTACACCACTAGTGTGCTCAAGAATAACACTAACTTACTTAAACATATTTTAATAAAGTAAAAGTATTTTCCTCCAAGAAAATATTCAAGCAATTGTGAAAAATCTTAAAAACACACAAAAAACCCAACAAACCTTAATATAGCACTCAGTGAAAAACTTTGAAAATTAAAATATCAACCCAACAGTTTTATTGGAATCCAGAAAAGAGCCTTATTGCCTTTGTAAAATTAATTAAATATGGATATTTTCATGACAAAAAATTATGTCAATAACAAAAAATGCCAACCTGCCCTAATATATTAAGAAAAATACCAAAAGTGCTTCTATAAGAAATTCATGAAATACTCTGAGAATAAAAGAATTTTTTTTTTGTACAACATAACCTTAAAGGCATTAATGCTGATACTGGCACTTACATTTTGTATACCATTGCCCTATAAAAGATTACAATCTCACCTGAGTAACTTAGACTATTTCCAAATGTATTTATCAGATTTTTAAAATGAAAAAAAAATAAAATAATAAATAAATAAATAAATAAAAATCTGTGTAAATTCTGGTATTTTTAATAATAAAATAAATGAACATGTAACACGATTACACAATATCAAATTCATAGCAGAAGAAAAGCGTTCCCAGATCATTTGTAAACAATGATAAAACATGTTGCTACCTTGCTCATAATATGTAGCTTGCTGTATTTGTTTTACTTGATCTAGGAGACTGAGCGGGTAGAAAATAACCTTAGAAAACACAGCTGGTTTACCAACATGAGGTCTCATTTTAATACGCTGTTTCTGTTCTTGTCTTTTCCATTCTTTTCTTTTTGTCATCCTGCTTCTTTTTCATTTGCCAGACTTAGGGGGAATGGCAGTCTAGTGATGCGGTCATAAAGCTTGGAATCCCGAGGTAATGAGTTCAAGCCCCATCCCCTCAGACTGCCACTCTGGGTCCCTGAGCAAGACCCTTAACCCCTGACTGTTCCCCAGATGGCAGCCCACTGCTCCCCGAAAAATGCAGAGGTACATTTCTCCAATGTGAGATCAATAAAGTTAAAATATTATTACTCAAGTAAGCAAAAAAGTGCAGTACAGTAAAATGGCTTCTAAAAGTTCTTAATAAAAAAAAAAACTCAATAGTAAATCTTTTTCATTAACAGATTTTCATGCAGATGCAACAGATTTAACTAACTTGTATAATTCAGCTGCTTTACTCTGAAATGACATGTGAGGATGCTAATTTAATGCTATAGCCACCTCTTATATCGTATTCAAAATTAAATAAAAATATTATGCATGTTAACGAATAATGCCTAATTTATGCAGTTTACACATTTTAACGTGTCCTGCCTGAATAGTGTTAGCATCAATTTATAGTAAAGTAATAAATCTGTGGTTGTAAGATGAAATGCCTGCCACTAGATGTCAGGGTGCAGCCTAAAAACACAGGCACTCTGCAAGATGACCTTAGTTTGAATAATTGATTTGTGAATATCTTAAGTAGCAAGTTTGGATTTTGTATTACCAAAAATTATTCACTTCACCTTGCTATTATGATGCATATTAAACAACTGAATATGAAACATAAACCAAGCTAAAGTCGCCTCCAGGATCTATAACCTAAAACTGTTTGAACAGTCAGTTCATAAGTGGATGATAATACAAATGGAATAAAAATTCAGAATGATAGCACATAAACAAGTGCAGCGATAAAATAAACTTTACAAGTCAATATTTTCTTGCAGTGTTAAAGTAACACTTTAAGAGTGCATTTGGTCCCACTCGGAATTAGTGTTAAATTAGAACTCGATGTAGCTTATATCTTACTCCAGTTGTTGTAATAACTCTGACACTACATATTTAACACTGTGGAATATACTAAGGAGTTAAGTTTTCTGTTGCAGTCAGGTTTTATAAATTGCAGTATTTCAGATAAATTGTGCAGGACGATGTGTTCAGTGACTGACAACAATCAAAGCCTTCCTGCTGTTTTGCTCATTAACAGGTCCTGAAGAAAGGATAGTGATCTCTCAGTTCCCCTCACCATCCTTTACAGGGCCTTCGCTGAAATATAGATTTGTGAGGTGCTGTTAAAATGACTCTTTACCATCAGATCTACAGACTTCTTTATTCTTTGCAGAGATCACTGGAAAAACTAAAGCATACAAACAATAAAATACAATAACATGGGCTCATGATGTAAACAAACAAAAGGCAACCATTTAGACATTTTTAACTAACTTACACAATTTATCTGAATAATTTAAAATCCGTTTTACACAGACATGCCAAAAATCAAACAATGGTATATGGAAACGTTTTCAGGTAGCCCAGTATCTGTCAGGGTTTGGTTGAGGTTTTTAGGACCCAAATGCAGAGGCAGGAAGGCAGAGGTGAGTTCTTGAAGATTTAATTCAATGTTCACAAGCGAATGAGGCAGGAATCCAAAAATCCAACATAAAAATGTAAAACAAACAAACAACCATGTAGACATCAGGGAAAACAAGCACAAGGAGCCAGGGAGAGATGAGGAACCAACACTGAGGAACTGCTCAGGGAAAGTATTTATGGCTGACTGAGCAAAGGCAGGACTAACAGCTGATTTAGAGCAGTAGTGAACAGAGGAAAGGAAAACTAGAAAGGAGCTAGGGAAAAGGAGACCAACACAAGAGGGCAACAAAGAAAAAACCTAAGAACACAAATACATAAAAAACACAACAAAATAGGAATTAAATCAATACAACTAGAAAACAAAGAAAAACATAAATCAACGTGAAACTGAAACCTCAAAGAAAACTTAGCAGAACCAAGACCGTGACAGCATCATTACACAGTTCAAATTAACACGGCCAAAAATACTGAAGATTTTCACGACATCCCAAAAAGCCAGTTGTGAAACAGAAAAAAAAAACACTTTAAATGCTAGAACACAGATATTTTTTAAGAACTGAACCAGGATAATCTTACAAATCTCTCTCTCACCTATTAGTCAGATTTACATGCCAAGTAAAAAAAAAGGTGAAAACAAAAACAACAAAAAGCAAGGGAGTATTTAAAAAAATTCTGGATTCAATTTTTCCAATTTCAAAAATAATGGTAGCAAAGTCACTCCATACAGTTCATTGAACCCACCAATGGGAAGAAGAAAGGTGCTGCCTGTTCTGACCAATCAGCAGAGGCGCTCAGGTTTCCTTATCTGTCCTGCCTCTCCAGGTGCTTCACATCTCCAAGCGAAACTTTTGCAACTAAACTTAAAGCTGAACAAACACACACGCGTCCTTTTTTAGAAAAGGTTGTTTTTTTTGTCTGTTTTCAAGCCGAGACCAAGGCAGACACTGGGCTATATAGTCGCAGGTCAGGTTACTGACTCCTCTGTTGGCTGTTAATAGGAGAGCCTCAGGGGCCCCAGGCTGTCCAGAGCCCCACACAGCCTGAGCTGATCCGGTTCCTCCCTCCGGTCCAACAAACCAGCAGATGCGGCATGGACCTGGACAGGTAAGACAGAGCTATTATTATCACTTCCCTTTGTTAAATGAACACAATGGTTTGAAATGATTAACCTAGAAACAGACACAGTCACATAAAGACCATTTAACAAACTTAAATCCATTTATGGTACCGTTTGGATGATAAAAAGCAGCCTGACAGAAATATATTTTATTCTTTTATTCTGAACAGCTGGAGTTTACAGTTAAATCCTTCTTTTTCATGTGTTGTCAGCTTAAGTGAAATAAAAACTTAATAGCATTTTCCTAGATGAAGCTTAGTGATTCTCTCTTTTGGTTTGGTCCCAGTTGGTGAAATATTTGTGATTCATTAATTATTGAAACTAATTTAGTAATCATTCATTGCTAAAAGAGCAGCCCATGCTGAGCAGCTATTATAACTAAATTTTGTTTGCAGATTAAACTTTTTTTTTTGTCAGCCAATGTGGTTCTACCCAGAACTCCTCAACTGGATTAGTTTAAGCTCAGAAATGTTGTTTTGTGCAGCTTTCAGACAGTAAATGTGCAGCAGTGAAATGAACATTTCCATTCCATAAAGTGCAGCAGTGATCCAATGTAAACAGTGTGGGAGGAAAACAAACCATGGTGCAAAGATGCATTGATATTGGAAGTTCAGAGCAATCAAGACTAACATATATGGTGCAAATATGCACTAATGTTTGGTTTGGTGTTATCAGTGTGATGCAGTCTGTGACATGATTTAGAGTTTTTTCTTTCAGCAGTTAGGCAGCCTGATGGCAGCACACTTTGATTTCTGTATAAAATCTTCTTAAAGCGCCATTAGCCGTCACATAATTAATAAAAAAAAAAATATTGGCAGATTTATGGATTAGCAGAATAATCGTTAGTTCTGAGGAGTTGTGAGAAGAAGCCAGTAAAAAAAAAATGCAAACAATAATAAGTATGGTGAGAAACCGCCTGAGGCGTTCCTGTTGGCTCCACAGACTGTTGTCTTGTATTGACAGATTGGGTTCGCTCTCATGCTCAAAGCTTTTCTTTCTCCTATTGACTCAGCAATAAGCGACTGGTGGTGGTGGTGCCAAATGAAGTGTCGGTGGCTTCCCGTCGAGTGTTCAGCAGCGAGGATGAAGCCTGGAAGAACTACCTGGAGAATCCTCTGACGGCCGCCACTAAGGCCATGATGAGCATCAATGGCGATGAGGACAGTGTGGCGGCTCTGGGGCTGCTGTACGATTACTACAAGGTTTGAGAGGATCATCATTTTTCAAGACCAGGGAAAAAAGTTCCTTTTTAGTGATCTAATGACGCCCACAAGGGACACTCAAAGGAGAAAGATGTACTTAACTTGATATTACCATAGATATTTGTTACTTTATCAAGAGCCTAAATATTTGGCCGACCCCCAAGTTTCATTAGTGTGAATTTCCCCCACCCCGACACACACACACACACACACACACACACACACACACACACACACACACACACACACACACACACACACACACACACACACACACCTTGAGACATTAATGGATTTATCAAGTTTTCCAATTTCCTTGTTTGTCTTGGAGATCCTTCACTGATGTAAAACTTGCTCGCTGTCTGAACAAATGAAACGTTCACAGAGATATAAACAAGAACGTTGAACATCATTCATAATTAATTTCATTTTCAGTAGTTTTCTGCTGTTTAACTCACGTGCAGCACTTCTAAAAAGCTACGGCAAACATTGTTGAAACGTTGCATGTTTAAATGTGAGTCAAAAAAGGATAATTCATTTTCTTATTTTTAAAATCTCTGTTTAAAAGAAAAGTCCGGTCATTATTTATACCTAAAACTAATACGTTTGCGGTGATTTAATGAATTTAGCATTAATCCGTAAAAAAATTATAATTTTCGTTG